GATTAATTGACCTGGGGCAAGCTACCACATGCTTGCCCAGCCAGTGTGCAGGAGCAGCCTAAAACCCGTGCGCAGACCACTTCTCTGGTGCAACTGTCAGATCTCTACCAGACAAGGCCACTCGCCATGGCTATTGAGCAGACATTGGTGCAGTGCTTCTTGCGTCCCTGCGTCTCCCTCTGCCTCCCCCTCTGTCCATTTTGAGATTGTACTGGAAGCGCATGCTTTGTAAAGACGTGGATGATCCAAGGAAGCTGAGCCCCTCAGAGGCCTCCAAGTACTTGGACTCTTTCTTGACGGGCCACACCGCAGCAGGGCATGCAAGTGACCGGCCTGAGCGTTTGAGCATGAAACATGTCCCGCGCATCGAGGCAGGCAAGACGGAGTCTCTTCTTTCCGAAGCAGAAGCCCAACCAGCAGCCCTGGCCTTGCAAGTGCTTGCCTCCCGAGCCGAGTCTTTTTGTGGCAGAGGCCGGATACGAGTTTCAATCCAATGGTGTCATTGAGATGCTCGAGAAGCTCGAGGTCCAGTTCAAGGAGGAGGGGACCTTCTCGGGACAGTTTTAGATTGTGGCAGCAGAACAGAGTCTTGGCAGGAGAAGAACTCGCTGAAGATGGAGGAACAGAAGAAGAAGACCGCTTTCCAGAACCTGGTCACCGGCCTGGACTCTGAAAACACAGACGCCACGAAGAGCAAGCAGAGCAAGCTGAAGGAAAAGGCGAGCATCTCAGAGCAGAAGGCCAAGGATGAGTCTGAGTTGGCGGACACCACTTCCACAAGGAAGGAGGATGCGAAGTACAAGAAGGATCTGGAGCTGAGCTGGGAGGAACGTGCAGCGGAGTTCAAGAGCCGTCAGAAGCTGCGCGGAGAGGAGCTGGAAGCTCTGGGCAAAGCCATTGACATCATCTCAGGCGATGCCGTCACGGGCAGCGCTGGAAAGCATCTGCCAGGCTTGCTGCAAAGCGGCACAGCCATGGCGGTTGTGAGTGTCAACCGCTCTCTTCGTACACCGAACTTCCGGAAGGTGGCAGGCTTAGTCTTTGCGACACGCCAGGGGCTGTGACAGCTTTAAACAGCTAGGACTAGGACTTGTGGGCCTTCATCGGTTCTGTGTGTGATGCAAATCTTTTGCAAAATAATTTGTTTGTGCGGTGCGATAAAGCTTGGCCTCAACCCTTACTGAGGAGCCCGAGAACCAAGTCATTCTCGACACTGAGCACCAAGGAAGCACAGCAACAAACACGAGCACAAGCTGCGTGTGCAAAGCATCCAACCTGGTTGTCGAAGGCAGATGCCAGCTACATGCGGATGAACGTGTAAATATTATTATTAGTTTGCGAACACAGACATAAACAACCGTCGCGACACACCACAGAAGCGTTTTGCGACATGGCAGATTTCAAGCATGCTCCAACATCTTTCGAAATCAGAGCTAGCCTAGGCGCCTTTGGGTCCAACCTAGGCGTCTCTTTCATTCCCCGGGGTCCGATTCAATGACATGTTCGCAGAGCACAGGCTTCCACATCCTTGGCCCAGTGTCATGCAAATCACTTACTTCATGTTTCCCGCGCCCCGTCTCGTCAGCATGAATGGTGCGGTAGAGCTTGGACTCAAGTCTCAAGTCTCATTGAGCTCGAGCAATTTGCGATCAAGCCGGTTCTGTCGAGACGCGTGGCGAGCGAGGGCTGCAAGGCGTTCTGAAGTGCAGTCGCTGAAAATCGGAGACTCAATCGTGCGCGAAATCCTCGGCTGGAACACTGTAACCTCACGAAGCCCTTCATGCATGTCTCCTCGACATGGAGATTCACGGAGAAGATGTCGAGGTAAGTCACGAACGACCGAAAAACACATGGAGCCCGGTTGCTGCTACTGGCAATGACGTGCGCCAAGCGCCGGACTGATAAAACGGAGGCTGACCGCCAAGTTGCCAAGCCTGCAGCTGATTTTGACAAGGCGGACCATGCTCTGCGAACTGTAGACGTAGGATTAAGTAGGCGCAGCCACCTCACTGAATCAGTGCGGCAAGCCGCGGATCCGACGCTGTCCAACGCTTCCCGAGCAGAGACATCTCAGCATCCAGTGTGCCTTGCCACAGGACAGCCAAGGAGGCAAAGCCTTTGCCCCTGTCCCAAATGTGTTTGTTCGTTGCTCGGCTAGGGTCCAGAGGGCCAGGGTTCTGTCTGAAGCAGGTGCCAGAAACACGTCCCTCTAGAGGCACCTTCTTTGAAAGCCGAGCGCTGAGGTGGCCGACTTTCTGCAGGAAAAGGCTGCTGCCCTGCACAGCCAGGAGCTGGCCGCCCTGGCCATGCGGCTTCAAGCCGACCCCATCGACAAGGTGAAGGAGATGATCGAGAACATGATCACCCGAATGGAGAAGGATGCCGCTTCCGAGGCAACCAAGAAAGCTTGGTGCCAGGAGGAGCTCAGCGAAAACGAGGAAGCCCGCGGAGCGAAGAACGACGAGATCGAAGCCTTGGAGGCCGACGAAGCCAAGCTGAAGTCCTCACTCCAGCAGCTTGCTGCGGACCTTCAGGCGCTCAGCCAGCAGGTGAAGGACATGAATGCTGCCATGACCGAGGCGACAAGCATTCGCCAGAAGGAGAAGGAGGAGAACACGGTAGCCATTAAGGACGCGAAAGCCGCCCAGGCTGCGGTAGCCGAAGCCCTCAGCGTGCTGAACGAATTTTATGCCAAGGCCGGGCAGGCGACGGCTCTTGTTCAAGTGCAGACCAGGGCAGGTCCGCAGCCCTTCGAGAAGCCCTACACTGGGATGGGCTCAGAGAGCGGCGGGGTGCTGGGGATGATTGAAGTGATCCAGTCTGACTTCGCCCGCCTCGAGGCTGAAACGACTGCTGCCGAGCAGTCCGCTGCCAAGGAGTATGAGTCCTTCATGGACGATTCAAAGCTTGACTTGGCGTCAAAGGAGAAGGATATCTCGCACAAGTCATCCCGGAAAGATTCCGAGACTCAGGCCCTTACATCCGTTGAAACAGACCTGGTCAACGTGAAGAAAGAGCTCTCAGCTGTCATGAAGACATACGAAGAGCTGAAGCCACAGTGTGCCGATGAGAGTGCTTCTTACGAAGAGCGAAAGGCGAAGCGTGATGCCGAGATCAAGTCTCTGGAGGAAGCCCTTGAAGCTCTGAACATTGCCCGATAGAGTCCCGAGATGGCAAGACTGAGCACGACTTGAGCAAAAAAGAGTGTCACGGCTGAAGTCTGCATGTCAGGAAGCGTTGTCGAATTTTTACCGGTTACTGAACTTTCACACTGAGACTGCCGCTTGGGTGAGCTGGGTATGGGCTCAAGGCTCCATAGGGGTTGGCCCATCCCACAGTTTCAGTACAATGCAGTCTCTCTGTCTGCTTGTGGCGCTGGCGGCCTCTGCCGTCCTCGCGCGGGTGCCTGAGCCCGGCTTCGGACCAGCCAGCTGGAGCGGTGACGCTGTTAGCCTCGTGCTGTTACTTGTAGCGTCGTGCTGAGGTCGCAG